CGAACCATTAAGGCGTGTAACATTCAAGAGCTTTTCTGCAAAGAAAAAACAAGTTAAATTTTCCTATATTAGTTAAAGAGCTTAGGTTTGCACGATGCTTTTAAAGTTTATCCATAGACATAAAAACTGCATTTATTTTTCTATTACACTACGCAAAATGAACCAGTGAAGTTCGGTTCATAATGAGATGAAACGAAAAAACTTTCAGGAAGGAGTTGTTGAGACATTAGATACACTGGTTCTTGTGAAGAGTAAGCTCCTTGCACATCGGAGAATCGCAAGAAGTTATGAAAAAATATGTTGTTTCTGACCACTCCTAGGTTTGACTTCATCAAGATCAAATATTTCAGGGACATTTAGTGTACATTTCGATTTATATTCTTGACTTTTACGTCAAGTATGAGTGTATATTAAGCGAAGGCTACTCAATCATACAACTTTTATACATTATAAAAGCCTTTCGATCACCAAAAATTTCCGAAAAAAAAGACTCAGTGATCATAAAATGGTCATAATGGGTTGCTTAAGAATTACAATGCATTTTAATGGTCATTTTATCATTTTTCAACAAAAATGGGGCATTTTAATGGTCGAAATGGTCTAGATACTGAAAATAATGCATTTTAATGGCTAGTTCTCCATTATTCTTTTGACTGGGATACCTCTCACTGATGTTCTAAGTAGAATTCAACATGCTCTATCCTATGGTGGAAAAGAATTGAGAACAGTTTAGTTCATTCGCGGGTATAACTTTGCACATAATGATTCTTTTCCTTCATTTAGGAAAGCCAAACTGTAGTTCCAGCGCATATCTGGTCCCGACACGTCTCAACTGTTCCGATTTCTGTTCGAAGCAGAATTCAACACGCTGTATCGAATGGTAAAGTCAGCTTAACTACAGCTTAAACCACTGGTCTGTCATCTCAAAAATATCGATTTTTCTCACGAACCCTATGGAAATGCAATAGTAGTTACTACCCGTACTCGCCCAGAAAGCATTCCGAGTTTTCTGACTTATGGTTCAAGTGGCTACACACCACAACAGCACACCAACACCAGCAACAACTAACTCCACATTAACACGCCACAACAACATATCAACACTAACAATAAGGTCTACATAGTTACACAGTACAGCAACACACCAACACTAGCAGCAACTCACTACACATTAACACACCACCACAACACGCCGACACTAGCAGCAAACATCTCCAAATTAACACATCACAACAACACACTAACACTAGCAATAACTGTCTGCACATTAACACAGCACATCAACACACCAACAGAAGCACCAACTAACTGCATATTAACACGACATAGCAACACACTAACACTAGCAACAACTGTCTGCACATTAATACACGACAACAGCATACTAACACCAGCAACAACTAACTGCACATCGACACATCACATTAACACACTACAACGACACATCAATATCAGCAACAACCCATGTCGCCACTTTTTTAACAACTGCGTCGCAGTTACGCGTAACCGCGAAATTTTGATCGTAACTGCGCGCAACTGCGGCGCATTGATCGCAGCAAAAAAATCATATGTTCGACTACGATCGACTGTGACGCAGTTACGCGTAACTGCGAATAAAATATCGCAGTTGCGCGCAACTACGGTAAAAAATTCGCAGTTACGCGTAGCTGCGCCGCAATTTTCCGCAATTACGGGTCACAGTGCGATCGCAGTTACGCGTAACTGCGTCGCAATTCGATCGCATTCGAACACATGGGAATTAGCTTCACAATAACGCACCAGGATGACACATCAATAGCAGCAACAATTAACTTCACATTAACACACCAACACGAGCAACAACCATCCGCACATTAACACACCTCAGCAACACTCCAACACTAGGAATAACCTTCTGAACAGTTACACTCGTCAACAGCACAAACAGTAGCAATAACTATACGGACACTTACACACCATAGCAACTGACCAAAGCTAGTAAGAATTAGATGCACACCACAACACATACGCAACCATGTCATCCATCGCATACAGATGACGGCATCGTAACTCAGGGGAAGAATATGCATTGACCTATCTGAACACACTCACACGGCATTGCAACTACCATACCCGCATCTCACACACGCTCCATTTATTCACGCACAGCGATTAAGTGAAAACAGAAGCAAGCGTCATACACAAAAACACATAGAGATTGTCAGACTAGGATCCACTATGCCGAGGCTTCAAGATGAATCCCGAGATTTAGAATGAAACAAACCCATATGTAGCGTTCTCAATAGATAATAGCTGAATTTTGCGGTTAGTTTTTTTAGTAGCAAATAATTCTGCCATTGCTGATCTTGCAATGACACCACCACTGACTCTTGCGGTGAATTTGTGTTGATTAGTAAATGATTTTGCCTTTGCTAGTTCTTGCAATGACACCATCGCTGACTCTTGCGATGAATTTTTTGGGTTAGTAAATAATTTTGCCATTGCTGACTCTTGCAATGACACCACCGCTCATTCTTGCGATGAATTTGTGTTCATCAGTAAATGATTTTGTCATTGCTAGTTCTTGCAATGACACCATCGCTGACTCTTGCGATGAATTTTTGGTTGTTAGTAAATGGTAGTATTATTCATGCATCTCCTAATGGCTATATTTTTATTCATATTTCCGTTAATGTATTGGGCAGGCACTCTGTGCGTTTGTTGTTCGTTGATTCCTCGCACTCGGCAAAAGTCTTTTGTCTGCGCAGTTTTGCAGTTGCAATCGGATTTTAGTTTGATTTTCTCAGTGAAATACACATGTTGGTACGGATTGCTAATAGTCGCTATTCTTTGTCATCTTTTCCATTGTTTCGCTGCAGTATATTGTAAAGCGTCTATGAGTTCGATTGATAGAGTGATTTAGATTATATGAACATGTAAAAACGATGTGTTTTGGAGCTGGCAAATGTTTTATTCTATTTTCGGTGGCTTGGTTTTCTTTTTTTTGTGATGAAGCCTGATAGTATATTCTTAGAAGACTTGGTGAAGTCTGTTAAATTTCTAGCTTTCTGGTATTTTGAATATTTAGATTGTGTCGATTGATGTGTTGTTGCTAGTTTTGTTATGTTGGTCGTATTGTATTTGTTTTTAATGGACAGATCGTTCAATTTTTGGATCGTTGTGCATCTGGACTGTTGTTGAGTCATGTTTGCTCTTCGTCATTTTCATAGGCAGTCGCATTGGATTACATTGATCTGTTTGTCTCTGGCTTTTTGGATTTGTACAAAGGATATGCTGTTTATTGTGGAGTTTTTCAAGAGTGTGTATTGTCGTAAATGGCTTATGGAAATGTTTTGTTCGTATTGCATGCTATATAACGCGTCGAGACTACGTTTGGTAATGATGTACACAACATCGCATGAATGCATCCATGTGGATGAAGGTTCTTTTATTTAATTGTTAGTACAAAGGTAGAGTATATTACAATCTTGTTCAGGATGTCATTTGCTTTGGTTGTAATAGAAAATATGTAGAGAATAAATTTCAATCGTATACTTAGTGTTTATTGTGTCGTCATTATTTAGATTCGTGTTGTTGAGTGAATGTATATAGGAGAATTCGAAGAATTTACTCATCAGAAGTCAATGTTACCGCTCGTTTATTAAAATGCCGAATGTTTTATATACAAATCATTGGTTGTCCGGTTTCGTGTATTTCGGTACATTCTTTTTATGCCATATCAATATATTGATTAATATAGGAATTGTAATATTAAGTGTGGTTTATAATGCTGTGCATGAGTGTTTTATGATCGAATAGAGTGATACAGCATGCTTGTAGTCAGCAGCTCTACTGAGTGCACACATATTTGTAATGGAAGATGTCCAGAGTCGAATTTTTTAAATAAATATAATCAGAAAAAATTAACATGGTTTTAAATTGATACAGAAAGATTACATCATTTTGAACGTGGTGATTTTCCACGGATTTGTAGTTTGGGTTTTTCGAGTTTTTATTTATTATTTCATTTTAACGTTGTGTTCGGATATATGTCGCTTTTACTGCATATTTTTTCACTGTGTTAATGTGTTATCTGAAATAGAAACAAATGGCATCGTATTGTTCGTAAATAGGGAGACATTATCTCAGGTAGCCGTTAGTTAGAAACAGAGCAGACGATAGATTATTATAATGCATGCATAATCAACAGAATTCCATGGAGGAATATGAAGTATTATTCCCTTTGAATGAATTTCGAACCTTAAGAAAATCTTCACATTTTCGGAGTTTCTGAAGAATGGTTCATCCGAGAAAGGAGGGCAGCGGGTATGCACGTAAAACGGCCCTAAATAAAAATCACCTCAAAACACTTTATAAAATTGAATTTCATCTTTCTCTAAGTAAGAATAAAGTATCTGGACCTCTTTCAGGGCATGTTTCGAGAGCTCTTTTCGACATTTCTACTTAGGACAGAAGCATTATCCATATCGGAATCCCTTTCACAGGTTAACCGCGTTAGTTTACCAAATTAGTCTTATATTTTCAAGGAAGATAGAGCTTTTCAAGACCTTCAAAATGATCATAAAATGTAAAGGAAAATATGTTACCTTCGAAAATTTCCGAGGACCACGCTGTCAAGGTTCTACAGGAAAATCCATTGTTGGTATAATATGGGCCATAGAATCTAAAGTATTGCTTCTGATACCATCGTGATTTTTTCTGTGCAGATAGAACTTTTCAAGACCTTCAAAATAATCATAAAATGTAAAGGGAAATATGCTGCGCTCGATAACTTTCAAAGACCCCACTGTTAGGGTTCTACAGGAAAACTCATTGTTGGTATAGTATAGTCCATAGGATCTTAAGTATTGCTCCTGATACCATCGTGATTTTTTTTGTGCTGATAGAACTTTTCAANATTACAAATGAAAACGAACAAGTCAATTATTTTCCTGCTCCTCAAATCATAAACAATATCATTTTATCACCTTCTATTCCATTCCAAGATCCTTTCGTCTATGTTATATCATTGATTCATCACTTGAAATATCAATTTGAAAATTTTTTTCTTGACAAGAAAAGATTAGTAAATCGTAGTTTTCTATGCGTCCATTTTGAGCATTCCAACTATTTTTTTTCTCTGTCGACCAACGAACACATTTTGAATAACGAGTCGCAAATTGATGTTTCAAGTGATGAATCAATGATATAACATAGACGAAAGGATCTTCCAATGGAATAGAAGGCGATAAAATGATACTGTTTATGATTTGAGGAGCAGGAAAATAATTGACTTGTTCGTTTTCATTTGTAATTAATGTCAACATAAATTGAAGTTGATAGTCAAGTTCATCTACTGACCATTGTTGATTAGGATCACCAAAACCACGATCAAATATAAGTGTAAGATGCTTCATTATGTGTTCAGGAATCTTCGTTCCCGCACGAAAAGCTTCAAAATATAAAATGATTATTGAACTTTGTCAGAAACTCGTACGAAAAATTTGATCTTACCTGTTACTTCATTAATTCTTTTTTCGATGAATTTTGAATTCACACGCAACTTGTGTGGTGCCTGTTTGTCTATATTTTTGGATTCTTTGGGTTCATGATTTGTGATCAACCAAAAGAGAATGGTACAAACACCAGTAGTATCAATTTTAGGACTACGTTGATATTCTCTGAGTTGCTCGTCATTGTTCTCATTTTGTCGTTTTTCAAATTGTGGCATTTGATAAAAACTATTACCTAACTCAACATCAATATTTTCTTCAGAATTTGTCCATTGGTAATTATTGATCCAAGCTGAACTAAAATTCATCAAAATCAAACTGATCTCATCACTATTCGATCGATATTGAACTAGGATGTTTTTAGGTTGAATATCACGATGAATAATATTTTGAGCATGAATTTGCTTAATAATAGTCAGAAGTTGTTGAGCGATTTTCAATGCTTCTCGAAGATCAGCTTTGTTGTTTTTAACATAATCCGAAAGCCTTTCAGCATCAATGAATCTCATGATATTCCAAAATTCTTTATTTGATTGATTATCATTCGCAGAATGAACATTGCTACGCAACAATTTTGGTACACAGATTAACTGTTTAAGACGTTCAAGTGCTACTTGTTCACGTTGCGCACGTATTCGTGCTGTTTGGTTGGTTTGTGGCAAATAAATTTTTATCACAATATTTCTTTCTTTGACAGATTCACTTTCAAGCCAGTACAATACATCACAATCAGACTCTTCCTTTGGTATCATTTGATTCGTCCATTGCCATCGTGTTGGCCAGCTCGACATATCTGATGGTGGTTGACGATGATGAAATTCTAAGTAAATAAGATCGATAATTTAAAAAACTCAATATTAAGAAAACCATTCATACTTGATTCTGATCTTAAAGAATTGATTGTATGTTTCTTTTTTGGTGTATTTTCTTGATTTATTGGCGCAATCCTTCTCACATCTGATTGTTCAACGAAATAGGATTTTTTTGAGACACTTTGTTGGCAACTGATAGTGCTAAAGGCCGAAGAATGCCATGGTATCGGCTTAGTTCTATGCGAACAGACACTCTGAATGCTCAAAACAGGGGATGAACATCGACTATTGTCAAGTGATCGAACCATTTCAACGGAGTCGTTCCATTCGAAGAAATCCTGGTTGATTTCCCATTGACATTGGATTTTTTGTGGCATCTCCAATGAGAACGAAGTGTTATGCCATTTATCAATTTGTTGTCGAAGTTTATTTTCCAATGGTTGACGTATGAGATAAGCCATTCTTGGCGAACCTGAACACTGTTCTGCTGGTTGAAGAATCAGATGATGTGAAGATTTTGGATGAATCTTCAATCGTTTCATCAGATCTTCGTGAGTGATATTTGAAGGAAGATTACTAATTTTGACACGATATGGTGCATCTTCTGAACCTATTTTATCACAAGATATGATAAAACAATCATAAAAATGACAATAAATTTTTATCTTACGATATTGTGGTCGATTACTATTAGATATTGTTGTGCGTTTGTCACTATGTCCTAACCAACAAGATTTATCATCACAAGTATCTGGTTCAGAACAAGTGATATGTTTATAATAGCATTTATCTGTAGAATATGGACATTGACATTTTTGAAAACGTTCGCACAATTCTTCATCATTGATTGATTCAAGCATAACTTCGCATTGAATTTTGTTCCTACCTATCAACATTCCTGTTTTTTCCTGAGCCAACGATTGTGCTAATTTTTCATTAGTGAAATTTGTTATCCAAGCTTCACTTGATGATCGTCCATCAACGATACGAGATTGTTCGAGACGAAAACAAGGATATAGAAGAATAACACCAATAGGAACTTTAAAAACCTTGGATATTTCTTCGCTTGTCACACGAAATGGTAGATTGGTAACATGAATGACATAGGAAGGTTCATGAGCTATATAATCTTCAGCTAAGATAAAGCAAAAATACCATGTACTATGAGAATGTTAAGATATGTTTTTTACCTGTTCGAGTTCTTTCAAGGAAAATTTTTACTCCTTTGATTTTTGGTGATAGATTGCGGAGAACGATTTTATCAACTGAATCATAACTAAAATAGAATGAATAAATTTTTAAATCAATCAGATATAGATATTCTTTATCTTTACTGTGCAAATGTAAATAATGCTTCAGTCTGATCTGTATTTGTCCATTTGCAACTTATAACTTCACCAAATTGTTGAAGATAGTTTTTCAAGTCATTTTCATTGAGTTTTCCGATATGTGTAGGATTGTTGTCAGATGCATGTATCTTTATTTTAAGACCAGTACTATATCGATCAGAGAGTCGACATGATTTTGGGAGAGTTCGAGTCACTTTCAGAGGTTGTCCGTTCAGTTGGAAAGTTCGTTGTTGCATAAACTCATCTATACTTTCTGGTTCATCAAAAGTGATAAAAATACGTTGACATTCTTCACCATTTTTACCTATCAGAAAAATAAAATCTCAGTTATAATGAATAGACTTAAAAGACAAATCTTAACGATAAGGAATTCCTCGTTTGATTGTCCAATGTGCATTGGAAAGATGTTTCCTGATCATTGCTGTAATTACTCTGTCTGCAGTTCGTGTACTAACATCGTAAAATATTAAGCTGCTATGACTTATGGTTACCGATGACATGATCGTTTCTGAAAATAAAAGAAAAAAATCTTATGTTTGATCATTGTTTATGAAAGAGTAGTCAATCAAAAGAAAGACATAGACTCTGTTTTGGCTACATTCAAGTAGTGAAGTCCTTTGAATAATTGATTGATGTTATCCGAAATAAAATAAAATACTTATTGATAATGCAGTATTTTTATTTTGATATATCTTGGTCAACATTGACAAAACTAAAAACAAACAATTGTCAGCCACATGGCATTGCTCGCCATCGAACGAGCAAAGAAATTAATCAATGCAGAATGATTGAAAAAATATTTTGCTGTTCTTTTATACTTCAACATGATGTTCACGAAAGTAAATTATGTCACTTTGTTTTTTTCCCACTGCAATAGACGCCGATGCGTACTTGAAATATTCCAATAGACTCAATGGATTAAAAATCAATCATTTAGATATAGACATTTCCATACATCTATTAACGAACAGTATTAGTTTACAATGTGAATCATATTTTAACTAAAGAACAAAAACCCAATTGAATAATTGTGTAGTGTTAGAATGAGATAATAAAAGATTCACTTAGTTTTACTTCTAAGACACTTATTGAAAAATCTCTACGAATCAAATATTAATAGAGTAATATTGTAAGGGTGTGGGTGTGGGTGTGGGTGTGGGTGTGGGTGTTGGTGTGAGTGTGGGTGTGGGTATCTGCTGTCTCTTTATCTACACCCGCACCCACACACCCACACCCACCCACACCT